TGTTAATTTGAAAATGGATAAACACGTTTTAGGAGATGCTTAATGAAAATTAATCTTACCTCCTAAAGTTTTATCATAAAATATATAAGATAACTATTATAAAAGGAAAGCTGAATAGGCTTATAGATAGAAAACTTCAAATATCTAAAAATAAATGAGTTTTGTGTGTATCTACAAACAAGTTTGTAAATTTATAAAATGTGCATTTAAAAGATTTGTCAGGCACTTTTTGTATTCACATTTTTGTTGCTGTCACTGCGGACATGACAGCACAATGGACATTGGCCCAATGAAGCGTCGACTAAATTCAACTCAACTTGGCCCCACAAAATATGGTCAGCAGGGCGGTGGGGGGGTGCAAAACACGCATGCGGCCATGTGTCGAGGGCGGCTCAAAAGCAAAGCCAAAGGTGGAAACAACAACTCGTAATAGTTTGCGTCTGGCAGCCTTTTAGCCCGTTTCCATCAAACCAAATCTATTTTATGGGCACCTCTTTTTTTGTTGAGTTTAATCGTCGGGTCATGTTTGTCGTCGCCCCCAACATGGCTTATCGTCCTTTGACCAGCCAAATCGATGAGTACTTTTCCAAGCCATTGGCCATCTGATTTTATGCCTCTGGCTGCTCATCAGTCCATTCATTATTTAATAGTTTGACAATCTCTGGTAGCCTGTTTCACATTATTAGGTGCGCACATTTGCCAGAGAGTTCAGGTTCCGAATGCAAATGTACTTAATATATTCCTCCTCCTTGTCCGTCGTCTGCTCAACTAGCGCCCATTGCTCGTTTTGCCGCTTTGCATTTGGGCCAACCGCATTTAATCCGGCGTAATACATGCATATAATGCTTAATCCGGAATGGCAAAACATCGGCAAGCAAGAAAGGGGCCTCGGCAGACTGGTTCTCATGTTTGTCATTTCGTAATGTGGTGCGCACATTTATTCACAAGTAAAACAAGTATTAAAGCTCTGGTTGAGATAGCTTGAACCGCAATTACCCTGTAATAAGACGGCACTTCTGAGTGGAAAATATTAAAATGTGTATCATAATTAAGAGAAACGTAGATCCAGCTAATAATAATAATAAAATTTATAACCATAATATAATATTTATATAAATATAAAATTAAAATTCAATAAAACAGATAATACATATAACAAAAATAACAATAATAATAAAAATATGAATAGAGAAAACCTAAATTAAGCTTGTTCTCCCAATCGATTTGGATCTTAGCTTGCTATTAATAATACAAATATAAATATCAAAAATAAAAGTGATAATAGCAATATAAATGTGGTTTTTTACCAAAAGAATAGACTCTTTAATAACATAACCTTAATAGTTATACCAAAAATAATAACACTTCTTCTTCGTAATATAAATTCGATAACATGAGATCTTAATGCCGATCGATAGTGTTGCAAATGCACGCATTCGTCTTGCATTACCTACATTACACAATTTTGTATTACAGGGTATGCAAAAAAGTTGCCAGTCTTATTTTGTTTGTGTTTTAGTGTTGCTGACTTTATCAATTTCGTTGTTCCACGCTGCGTATGAGTAATCATTTTATTGCACGACCCCAAATGTTTGCTAAGCCAAATATCGTTGGAAAAAGAACAACATACACACACAGACACATATATGAGTGGTGTCTGTGTGAGTGTACATGCTTTTTACGACCCACTGTAACGCCCTTTAATTTTACGCAAATTTGTCGGCCTAAATTAAAATAAACGCGTTGAGCGAACTCCAAAAGACGGCAAAAAATAAAAAAAAAAACACTGCCATGCATTTTCCATGTGTGGCCATAAATTGTTGTTATTCTCGCTCTTTTTAATAACCCCTATCAAATATGCAGGCACACACGGGACTTCGTTGGCCACAAAAATCTAATCAAGGTCTGCGCCAATTTCGGTTTTAGTTGGAGTCCAAGTGCTAATCTTTATGCCTGATAAACATTGTTTAATTTAAAGCAATGTTTTGGAATAAATATTCCAATCAGCAAAATAGAAAAAAAAAACCAAAAAGCTAACGTTTTTTAAATACTTTTTTTTAACGATTGACCTGCACGGTAAAAATATGTGTTGCGATTACAGTTCAGATTTAAATTTAAACAAGAAAAGGTTCTAGTCGGGAGTTCTAGTCTTTATGGGGTCGGAGATGCTTCCTTCTGCCTGTTACATAAATTTGGATTTTGCACAAATACAATATACCCTTATACTCATTTTTAATGGGTTCAGGGTATAATCATTGAAAAAGTTCTGATTTTCGCACCGACCGCTATTTTGAAAAAAATCGATAGAACTGATCCTTACGAGTCAAAAATGGTATAAAATTCCAATATCGGACATTATTTGACGGTAATATTCTAAAAAATCATCAAAAATGTTGAATTTACGAACGAATCGGTTTTTTGTCAACAATATTTTTCAACCCATCGATGATTAATTTGTTTAAATGCCAATTGATGATAGGGATCCGTACGCATTTTAAAAGGTATAACATTTTAAAATAAGACATTATTTACCCGAGATATTAAAAAAAATCATCGAACAAGTTTCGATTGTCGCACCGACCTCGATTTTGAAAAAAATCCTGAAGGTCTGAAGGTCATATCTCCGCGGGGAGTTATGTCGTTTTGGGACGTCATATCTCCGCGGGGAGTTATGTCGTTTCGGAACGTCATATCTCCGCGCGGAGTTATGTCGTTTTGGAACGTCATATCTCCGCGGGGAGTTATGTCGTTTTGGGACGTCATATCTCCGCGGGGAGTTATGTCGTTTCGGAACGTCATATCTCCGCGCGGAGTTATGTCGTTTTGGAACGTCATATCTCCGCGCGGAGTTATGTCGTTTTGGAACGTCATATCTCCGCGGGGAGTTATGTCGTTTTGGGACGTCATATCTCCGCGCGGAGTTATGTCGTTTTGGAACGTCATATCTCCGCGGGGAGTTATGTCGTTTTGGAACGTCATATCTCCGCGGGGAGTTATGTCGTTTCGGAACGTCATATCTCCGCGCGGAGTTATGTCGTTTTGGAACGTCATATCTCCGCGGGGAGTTATGTCGTTTTGGGACGTCATATCTCCGCGCGGAGTTATGTCGTTTTGGAACGTCATATCTCCGCGCGGAGCTATTACCCGAAATATTAAAAAAAAAATTATCGAAAAAATTTGATTTTCGCACCGAACTTGATTTTGAAAAAAAAAACTTGATGTATTGGCATTTTGTCGATTTGGGTCAAAATTTTTGATTTCCTTTTTTCGATGCCAATCGATAGAACTGATCCTTTCGAGTCAAAAATGGTATAAAATTGGAAAATCATCAAAAAGGTTGATTTTAACAACCAATGGTTTTTTTGTCTTTAACATTTTTGAACCCATCGATGATTAATTTGTTTGAATGCCAATATATCATGTTTTGTGACTCTAGCTCTTATTATTTAGCAAAATTGCCCAAAAAAAATGGGATATCGATATCGATTTTTTTCGATTGCTTGGAGAACCAACATCTAAAATTTCAAGTCTATAGCTCTTATATGTTCTGAGATCCTTGCGTTCATACATACGGACGGACAGACGGACAGACAGACGGACATGGCTAGATCGATTCGGCTATTGATGCTGATCAAGAATATATTATGGGGTCGGAGATGCTTCCTTCTGCCTGTTACATACATTTGGATTTTGTACAAATTCAATATACCCTTGTACCCATTTTTAATGGGAAATATATCTATAATTCTGTTGCAAGTATTGTTTACTCAAAAAAAGTATATATGTATATTATATATTAAGATAAATATTTATTTCCAAGTCAAAATTAATCTTACATCGAGTTCAATATGTACTTGAATCACATTAATTAAATACTTACTGGAACAAGCTGAGTTTAAAATAAGGATAAATTAGGTATTGTTTATCTGAAATTGAGATTATTTTGTTTTGAGTTTACGAGTCACTTAAACTTGATTCAATGCTGTTATATTTTAATCAAGAGCTCAACAAGGCTGAAAAATATAACAAATAAAAACTGACTCAAGTATATTTGAAATTAAAAATTGCATGCTTCATTCAAGTATTAATAGTATTATCGCAAATTTTCATCTGGGTTAAGTATGCAGTTTTTAATTTTAAACATACTTGAATTTTGCTCTTCTCTGTATACCCTGATATCATATACTCACTTAAAATGGCTAAAAGGGTATTTTTCTGGTACTCGATTCAAGTGCAATACTCTTGATGCCTTATCTCTGTATATATAGAGAGTATATTAATATAAACACCATTTTGCTTTTCTCTCTACACCCTTTTATATATACTCATTCAAAATGGTTAAAAGGCTATATTGCTTTTTTCTTAACAGAGTATTGACTGCAAGAACAATTAGTTTCGAACACGTGGAGGTACTCGACAAAATGGTTATAAATTTAAGCTTTTTTTACTGTGTACCTTTGCCCGCTTGCAAATTAGTTGCCGAGCGCACAGAGAACCCGAACGAATGTTACGAAATATATGTAATTGCAGATAAATTACACGGCCGTTGACAAAAACTTTCGCCATTTAAATGGAACGCGGGGGTTCTAGCCCCCAAATAACATTAGCCACAGAGGCGGCAATTGAGGCCCCACACAAGTGCGTGCCTGTGTATGTATGTGTGTGTGTGTGTGTGTGTATGTGTGTGTGTGCCGTATAGGGTGACGGACCCGAACCCCATCAAGGCAACACTTTTGCGCAGCACTCAAAAACAAATTCATTACAATTGCGCTAATACGGCGTTTGGATTTGGGTTTGGGGATTGGCTTTGCCAGTGCCTCAATTGATGACGTAGGAGGCGCAGAGCTTTTGCTGGCGTACATGTAACAAAGACCATAAATATATCTGTAGCTAACATGTATCTGCATCTGCAGCTGTATCTGTGAGATACATGATGCGGAGGCACGTGCGAAACTGGCCAGCGGTGAGCAACTGTTGAGCTCAACCATTCAGTTGTCAATCGGCGCTCGCGCTGATAGCGTTTGCCGGCGTAAATTACCTGTCGCCTCCGTTTGGCTGACCCGAAGATGTCGTAAATCTCTCGAGCGCCCGTGTGATATGTGATAAGAGTGCGGGGCGTACGGAACACCAAGTACTTGGCAGCTAAAGTGCCGCCAGCTCGGGCCATAGTCGCAACGCGTTCGCCGCCGTGCTCAGATCGCCTGCCATGTCCATGTCCATGTGCAAAACATTCGTGGCGCTGGCCATCGCCTGGCTGAGCATGCTCTGCCTGCTGTCCGTGGCCGTGCACTGTGACAGCGACTCGTACTACGAGAAATACTATGCCGCGCGACGCTTTGTGCCGCTCAAGCGCAACTCTCCGCTGACCTTCAATTTCACGCTAACCCTCTCCAAGGAGGACGTGCTGGCATCCCATGAGCGGCCCGCGCTGGTCGGCAATCTGGCGGCGCTGGGCAGCTGGCAAGCGGATCGGGCCGTTCTCCTGAATCGCACGGACGTGCACAATGTCTGGATGGGATCGGTCCTGCTGCCTCAGAACAGCAGTGTCGAGTACCGTTACTTTGTCGCGGCCGTGTCGCGTTCTGGCAGCGTGCAGGTGCGTCGCTGGGAGTCGCATGTGTTGCCGCACGCATTTAATACGACCAAGCTGCCGGGTAATCGCTCCGACGAGCTGGGCAACATTGATGGCCAGCGGCAGCTGACCCGCGGCTGGCTGCAGAGCTCTGGCTCGATTGTGCAGCTCAAGGTGTTCCGTCAGGCGTTGCGCCTGGAGGAGCAGACGGTGCCGGATGCAGCCAGCTTGCGGTTACGCCTGCAGCCAGTGCATCCGGGCAATCTGTCGCCCATTCTAAGCTCGGCAGCAGCCAACGTGGAGTACGTGCGCATGGTTTACGCCGACAGCATACTCCGCCCGCAGCCAGAGTACGGTGTGCCCTATGCGCAGGACAAGGACTTGCTCATGTTCCATGTGACGGTGGAGCAGCTGCAGCAGGTGGCCTACCAGCTGGAGGTCTATGGCGAGCAGCAGGACCTGGTGCGCTTGCTGGGCTACGCTCACCTGCAGCCAGGCTCTCTGGTGGGCAGCGAAGGCAACCTGACCCTGCAGCTAATATCGCCGGTGTGGCAACGCGTGGTGGGCGAACTGCAGCTTGAGTACCTTGTGGTGCGTCCCATGGCCAATGGCAGCACAGATTTCCGCACCAGCTTCGTCAACTATTGGCGGGCCAACTGGACAGCGCTGGAGATCGGCCATCGTGGGCTGGGCAAAAGCCTGTCACTCTCCTCGACGTCGGCGGCGCCGCTCATTGAGAACACGTTGGGCTCCATGCTGAAGGCTGGCGAGCTGGGCGCTGATCTAGTCGAGTTCGATGTGCAGCTGACCAGTGATCTGGTGCCCATCATTCATCACGACTATTCCATACGCGTGTGCATTGACTCCAAGACGCCGACTACGCGCAACGATCTGACCGAGGTGCTCATCAAGGATATTACCTATGAGCAGCTGAAGCAGGTGAAGACCTACCAGATCGTTGGCAACAAGATCATTGAGTATCCGGCTCACAGCAATGTTGAGCAGGTGGAACAGCGCCTCTTCCCCACGCTGCAGGATTTCTTTGAGCGGGTTAACCTCAGCGTTGGATTCGACATTGAAATCAAATGGCCTCAGCTGCAATCGAACGGCGTCTACGAGAGCGAACAGACCATCGACAAGAATCTGTTTGTGGACCGTATTTTGGAGGTGGTGCAGCGATATGGCTGTGGTCGTCTCAACATCCTCAAGAGCTTCGATGCGGATCTGTGCACGCTGTTACGCTTCAAGCAGAACATGTATCCGGTGCTCTTCCTCACCAGCAGCAAGGAGAATGTCTATACCGATCCGCGCACCAGCACCGTGGAGCAGAGCATCAACTTTGTCCAGGCCTTCGACCTCGCGGGCATTGTGCCCAATGCCGTATTCTTCAAGGCCGATCCCACGCTGGTGCAGCGCGCCAAGTCCCAGCTACCGTTGCTGTTGCTCTGGGGCTCAGACATTAAGGATCGCGAGGCAATCGATTGGTTCATCCAGCAGGGCCCTGATGGTGTCATCTACGATCGCATGGACCTCTGGCTGCCTCCCAGCAAGACGGGCGCCTTCGAAGCGGAGCTCGACCTGCCCGACTTCTTCCAGCTACAGTGTGCGCCCGCCAACAAGCAGCGCTCCTCCAATGTCACCCTCGAGAGCATCCTGAGCAATGTAAACGTTCTCTAGCTTCTACTTTGTACTTGATATTAACGCCAAGCAATAAACGTACTTTCTCTAAAAAGCTGTCGTTTCTCTTTTTTTACTGCAAGGCGTGCCCATTTCCCATTTCCCTTCAGCTTCCTGATTGTTGGACGTGTCCGCGAGCTTCTGTTTCCTGTCCCCTGTTCTATTCTGGTTGCAATAAAAGGAAAGGGATTTAAAATTTCCACATAATTGCCTTTTCCTTCTTGAGAAACAAAAACGAAAGAAACTTTTGCTCGTTGTGCATCAGCGCAGAAATAAATCCTTTTGCAGATAACTTTTTAGTTCAAAGCAGGAGCATGACAAAATAGAAGGTATAAAGCGTAGTTGATTAAAAACCCAAAATGGTTTTTTTGAATATTAATAAATTAAACAAAAAGAAGGGCTGGTTATTAAAAAATGGCTACCTCCAATTGTAATAACATCGAATATGATTGCAAACTCAACAAACATGTTCAATGGTTGGGTTAAGGCTCGGTTCGAGTGTTTGGTTGAGCCCAGACTCGAACCTAGATTTCATAATCTATTTTAATATTCAATGCAACTATTTGTATTAACATGAATGAAATAATCATATTTACATTGTTTGGGTTCACTTTTGGGTTTGAATTCCGGGTACAAATCGGTTCAACAAAAAAGCCTTGATAAAAAAAGCTGTATTAAAAAGATCGCAGTTCGCTAAATTTGTTTGCATTTCTCGCTTTGTTTTTCACGCTGAACTTGAAATTTAAATGTTTAATGAAATCATTGCCATCAACTGCCCCAGTCGCAATCCCAGTCGCTGTCATGTCGTGACATGTCGCGTCATTCCATTCCATTTCACAAAAAAGCGACTGGCCCCAGGCCCCGGGCCCCAAGTGGTCAATCGCCTCTCTCCCAGCGAAGGCGTCGCGGTTTGCCCTGCGGTCATTTCTGTGATGCAATTGCATAGTACCCACCCCCCTTAACCCCCTGTCAGGCATCCATCAACATCGTGCATCACAATGCATCCGCAGTTACATAAGTGTGTAGGTGAGTGTATTAATATGCCAAGGCCCGAAACTCATATTACACCAGAGTTCAGTCTCAAAAGGGTCTCTCTCTATACAGATCCATCCAGCTTTAAATGTGTGCTCGTATTCGTATAATTATGCGTCTTATTTTTATTTGCGCTTTACTAATTGACTGGCAGCTAAACTTAGCTCTAATTACATTCGAGCAAATATAAGTTGACTTTGAATGCATTAAAGATAATTGCGTAGTCGCAAAAATCGGGGTAGTTCCCGTAACCAATCATATGCACCTACTTACTTATATAATTGAAGCTCAAACAAGTCTCTGCTGGCCCGTAGAATCAAGCGATGCATTAATTAGTTCTCCCTTCCCCTTTAAATATTTAATGCTAAACAAACTTGGCTTATATTATCAACATCACGCTCGGAAAAGGCATTTCTATGAAATAAATTATATTAAATTTCTACAAGCCAAGCAAAAATGACCTAAGCGGAAAATGCTTAAGTCAACAAATGCCCAACTAGCAGATATTCTGCTATTCTTGATCTGTGATAAGCTTGTATATAAACACATTTAACTTTAGCTAAAGCCTTGAGTATTATTTATTGTATTTAATAGAACATTATTATTGTATTTAATAGAACAATTCAATTGCTCAGTAATTCAACTTGTTTTTCATATCAAAAACAAAAAAGAAAACAAACGATTTTTAATATGAGATCTTATTGATCCATTTGATTTAACTTCTCCAGCTTGAAGTTCGATTCATGGCAAGCAAAAAATGAGTTGCAGGTTCAAATCTATTTAAATTTCATGCTTTCATCTTTCCCTAAAATGCCTGCTTATAGGCACGAATAAATCTGATAGAACTTTCCAACTGGGTATAGAGTATTTTCTAGTCGGGCAGTCCGGAGCTGCTGAGCAGGTTACATGTTTTTCATGGGTAATAAACTTGTTTTTCGCTTAGATTTTAAAACAAAGCACGGAAATGACAAGCGAACTTTTAAATGAGTGGCAAACATTTATTATTATAAAAAAAAATCGGAAATATATAAGTATTTACGTAAATGCAGTCATAAAGATATTCAAATATTTTATGGCTCTTATCGCTTTGGCTGTTGCAAGTGTTAAAATATGGTCAATCAAATTTAATGAAAATAAAATCTTATTGTTTTTCTTATAAATAAATAAACAAGTGACAGCTTTTAAAGCGCTATAAAAAAAGTGTTTACCAAGGAAAATCTCTGTTATAAATATATTTTTCTCTCTTTATGATACCACACACACAAAACAAAGAGCTTCAGGCTGTTCAAATTTAGCAGCTGCTCAGCATGGAAAAAGTTATGTGCATTAACTTGAGATTATGTTATCCGATCTTTGAAAGTCCTGTGCCCATAGAAAATGTGTAAGAAGGGTATATGGATTCTGTTCAAAAGCAAGTTTTTCTGAACCTATAAATTATATATATCAGAACTATGAGTTAGTTTGTCCAGCTTTACAAATGCGCCTTGAATATTATGAAAGCCTTTTTTAAAGCATAATAAATTATTGTTTACAGCGCCAGCTGATGGACGCTTACATCCGGCAGAAGCGCGCCTCGCCCGGCATGGTGCAGGCCAGCGACCTGCAGATGAGTCGCCCGATGTCCGGAATGCGCGGCAACAGCCGGGAGCTGCACGCCTATGATGGTCCCATGCAGTTCATAGGATCGCCACATAATCCGGATCAGATATTGAGCAACAATAGCTCCAGTGTGCACTTGTCCAGCAGCATGAACTCGAGTCGCAACAACTCGAACAATTTGCGCAGCCTAAGCACCATCAATCAAGAAGGTGAGTCCCGGCCACGTCAGGAACGGTATCCAGTATTGTTATGTCTTTCATTGAATTGCAGACTTAATCGAGGAGATCTCGTCGCACGAGCTGGAGGACGAAGAGAGCAGTCCCGTGACGGTCGTTGAGAATCCGCTGCCGCCGCTAAGTGCCAACTCGGCGCATTCGCAGCGGCTACGCAACGGCCAGCAATCCTTCAACGAGACTCTCGACGAGGACGACTATGCCAATCGCAACATAGCGGGCGTGGCTCCAGTGCGTCCCGCTGGCATCGCCTCACCCTACAAGGACGGCGTCGCGCCGGAGGCCAGCAACGGGGTAGCCAACGGCAGCAACAGCGGCGTTGGCAGCGCCGAATCCGAAGGCGACGTCATCGGCAGCATTGATCTGTTTGTCATGCAGCCGGCGCCGCAAGGTGTGCTCTATAAGTGCCGCATCACACGAGATCGCAAGGGCATGGACCGTGGCCTGTTCCCCATCTACTATCTGCATCTGGAGCGGGACTACGGCAAGAAGATCTTTCTGCTGGGCGGTAAGTTTGGCCCTCCTCTGTCACAGGCAGGCGCTTACACTGATTCCTCTCTTAAAGGGCGCAAGCGGAAGAAGAGCAAAACATCCAACTATATTGTTAGCTGCGATCCCACCGATCTGTCGCGCAACGCAGATGGCTTCTGCGGCAAGCTACGCTCCAATGTGTTCGGCACATCCTTCACGGTATTCGATAGTGGCAACAAGGACAGCACAGAAAGTCCACGACTCGATCTGGCAGTGATCATCTACGTGAGTATCATCAGAATCACAATCCAGAAGCAACTGCTACAATAATCAATTCGCCTTTTTTATGACTAGGACACCAATATACTGGGCTTTAAGGGACCGCGCAACATGACTGTGATACTGCCGGGCATGACTGAGGATGACCAGCGTGTCAAGATCAGCTCAGCGGATCCCAAACAGCAGGGCATACTTGATTTGTGGAAGATGAAGGTCAGTCGGTTTTCTGCAACCATTTGCTAATACTCAATCATACCTTTTCTTCTGCTCCAGAACATGGACAACATTGTGGAATTGCACAATAAGACGCCAGTTTGGAACGACGAGACCCAATCCTATGTGCTCAACTTTCACGGTCGCGTCACGCAAGCGTCTGTCAAGAACTTTCAGTTGGTGCACGACTCTGATCCGGAATACATAGTCATGCAATTTGGCCGCACATCCGAGGATGTCTTCACCATGGACTATCGCTATCCGCTCTGCGCCATGCAAGCCTTCGCCATAGCGCTCAGCAGTTTCGATGGCAAAATCGCCTGCGAGTGAACCATGTCCTTATCCTTGTTACAGTTACGGATGCCTTATTTATACGACAAACAGCTCGACTTTGCATACCCTAACTAGTATAGATTGTAAGAATTATCATGAACGCAGAGGCTCGTATCAGGCAAAATATTTTTAAATAACGAATCTAATTGCTCTCAAAGAACATCAAGAACTATGGTATTATTTGTGCGTATGTGTGTCAATAGAGATGCAGGCAAATTAGTGGAACATAGATATTTAGAAAATACTAACAAACACCCTCCAAGACCAAAACTATGCCGAAACTTACAGATCTCATGAGAGGAACACATGATCAATAAATATCATAGCGATAGCAAAATTTTAAACACTTCAAGAATATCTTCTTCAAGTATATCTTTGAAATTTCTATTCCTTCAACTAATTACCTTAAAACATTTTGCTGTGCACTCTCGCTAGTTGTTTAGCAGATTACAGATCAAATACAAGGGGCTGTCTATCAAAAGAACAAAAGATGCATGGCTCACCCATCCAACCGCCTCTCAATACATAGGCTCAACTGCATCTGGAGTACTCAAGTGTTTCTTGTACAAATATTAGCACCTTCATGTGTATTTAAGTGTACTTTATTATTATTATTTTTTTTATATTTAACAAACATAGTCTAAAATTCTAGTCAGTCGAAGTGCTCATCATCATTATTTGCATGCGGCACAGTAGGCAAAAAAGAACATAACAAATATCTAAATGTATTTATGTAGGGATGACCATTCGATGGCCTTCACAAGCACTTGAGTTCTTTATGTTCATATTATTTTATTTAGAGAAATTGGTGAACAAGCGTAAACTTATGATTATTGTACATTTTCCGACATGTATTTCAAAGACAACGAGCAACAGCGAACACATCTTTTCATTGACTCTTCTAGCTTACCACTGAGCTTCTCCTTCTTGTATTTTTATCGATAAATCTATCGTTGATTAAATATCCATAGCAGGGTTGCATATGATAAGTGATTTTATATTACCAAATGAGTATAATGCCAACATTATACTCGCCTGTTTAATTTAACTGATTGTAAGTTCGACCACTCCTAGTTCTGTTTCCAACTCCTACACTCGGCCATCCTGACTCTTCATTCGACCCGAATGACGACTCTTCTGTTAAATTAGCATTTGGCTCCCATTTTTTCATGTATTCTGCTACAGTTGTAGTTTTCCCTGGACCTTCGTGGTCGCCTACCTTTTCTACGTCATATCTACCATGGTTTTGAATCTTTACTATTTTATATGGACCAAAGAATTTAGGTTTCAATTTTAAACCAGTACCATACTGTGTTCTCTTAATGGCTACAAGTTCGTTTATTTTATAATTGGACTCTTTTTTGCGATGTTTATTAAAAGATTTTCGGTTTTCCTGCTGTATTTTTGCTATATTTTGCCGCGCTTCTTTACGAACTTCTTCTCTTTCGTTACTTAGCTCCTCTATAGCAGCTTCTTCTAATAGTTCTTGCAAGTCCGATATTCTTTTAAGTTTCATCTCCACACCAGTCAACAATCTAAACGGTGAAACTTTAGTGCTTCTTGGCGGCGTACTGTTGATTGTTTGTTGAACGATATCAATATGCTTATACCAGCTACAAGGATTTTCACGACATAGTTTAGACAACATTGGTATTACGATTTTGTGTATACGTTCTACCTGGCCGTTTCCTCTTGGAACTCCTGTAGCTATCGTAAGATGCTGTATACCTTCTGTTTCACAGTACTCCTTGAACAGGTTTGAAACGAAAGCTGCACCCCTATCTGATATTATGCGCTTAGGATTTCCAAACACTGCTGCCTGCCGTCTTAGTCGATCTACAACTCCTTCTGCGGTGGTATTTTTTGTTGGATAGAGCCAAACAAATTTTGAAAACGCATCGACTATCACTAGAATATAGTTATAGTTTTTACTTGTCTGTTCTATTGGACCGACATGATCCACATGGTACGTGCCTAAGGGCTTGTCTTCTTTGTCAATTGGTGCCAAAAACCCTTCTTTCTTGCCTGATTTGCTCTCAGATATTATGCATTCTACGCAACTTTTTACAATTTTTGGCACTTTTGACGATAGCTGCGGAATATAGAATGTCTTCTCGATTGCTTCTTGAGTTCGTTTCGCTGAGAAATGCCCTTGCTTGTGTGCAATTCTTATGATTTCGTCTTCCATCAGCGATGGTACTACTATAAGTTCCTTGATGGGATCCTTGTATAAAATACCATGCCTAACATAAAAATCTTCGTATGTGCTACAATCCAAAACAGTTAGCACCGCTCGGACCCAATCATCTCTCGCTTGTGCTTGCTGCAATCTGTGCTGCAGTGAGTCTTCAAGCATAAGACAGGATACGCGGCTTAAAGCATCAACATGCCTCATTTTGCTGCCATTTCGATGCTCAATACTGTAGTCAAAATCTTGAAGGAAGAGTGCCCAACGCGAGACTCTCAATGGAATATCTCCACGTTTTTTCATGGTCAAAGCGAAAGCGTTACAGTCGGTCACAATCTTAAATTTTATGCCAAGTAAGTAAACGCGCCACTTTTTCAAGGCCTCGACTATAGCCAGCACCTCAAGCTCATAAGAATGATACTTCTCTTCTGAGGGTTTTGTTTTCCGACTTAAATATTGAATTGGATGCAACAATTGATCGTCCGAGTCTTTTTGCAAGAGTACACCACCATAACCATTCATTGAGGCGTCCGTATGCACTTCAGTCTTGGCTTTCGGATTATATAATCGCAATACTGGAGTACTAACTAATGCTGATTTTAATTGCCTGAATGCGACTAGTTGTTCTTCATCAACTTTAAATTGCACGTCTTTCCGTAACAAATCGGAGAGCGGTTTGGCTATCAGCGCATAGTCTTCTACAAAGCGCCTAAAGTACGATGTTAATCCGAGAAAACGCTGCAAACTCTTTCGGTCATGCGGTATAGGAAAATTTTGAACTGCCTGGGTTTTTCTTGCAGATGGTCTTATTGTGCCTCCCTGTATAACGTACCCTAAAAAGTCAACTTCCTTCATGAGAAACTGGCACTTGCTCCACTTAATACGCAAGTTAAACTCTGCTGCTCTGTCCAGTACGCGCTTTAACTTTTGGATACCTTCATCTATATCCTTGGAGGGAATTATAAGATCATCCATATAAGTTACGACTGTACCATCCTGTACCAGATCTACAAGAATTGCATGAATGAATCTGGAAAATACAGCTGGGGAGTTCGATATTCCAAAAGGGACGAACAGGAATTCATATTGCCCTGCACTTGTTACAAATGATGTAAATTTTCTCGAATTTGGCTCAATTGGAACATGAAAAAATCCGTTTGCGAGATCAAGTGTAGTAAACACACTTTGGCCCTGCAATCTCTCAATCACATCGTCTATTAAGGGCATTGGAAAATTGTCCCTCGCGATCTTTTCGTTTAAACGCCTGTAGTCACAGCACAATCTTTTGGTACCATCTTTTTTCGGAACGAGGACAACAGGAGATGCATACTCCGATGTACTTGGCTGTATGATCTTTTCTTCTAGCCAAGTTTTGATTTGCGAATCGACAATAGACTTGTCCGCATGTGATATGCGCCTTGGGCGTTCGAAAACTGGACGCTCATCATTTAACAAAATTTTCATTTCAATTGGACATTTCTTCTTCATTTCAGGTGAATAGTTTTTAATTATTGCTTGAACTGCGTCTGCAACAGGTTTTTCTAAGTGATGTAGATCGATCTCAGCCTCCTGATTTTCTGCAAAAAAGCATACATCTTTGAATTCTTGTAAAAGCTCTATGTCTGGCTTCTTATTTTCGACAGTATCTTCTGTTATTGTTGATGTCTTGTCAATTACTCTCTCGTTTGCATTGTCCTTCACTTTGGGTCGAAATTCTACGAAATTTTCCGATACTATTAAGTCCGCTTGCTTCAATACGCTGTTTCCTATTACAGCTGAGTATTGGATGTCGTCTCTGCTCGTAACATGAAAGGTTATATCCAGTAAGATACCATCAACTTCGACTTGAGTGACAAAGCTTCCCAGTGTATTTAGCTCACTATTACAGATACCAACAAGACACTGTTTTTCATTATTCAGTTCAACTTTTCCTAGCTCTTTAAGGATATCATCGCGTATCAGACAGAGGTCACAGCCTGTATCGATTAATGCAGAGAAGCATATGTTCTTACAAGACAACTCCTTAAAAATGCATTTTCCACTACTGTTGGCCTTGTTTATCATCGTGTTCGCATTTTGGCCTTCTTTCTTCTCCACTGCACGCGATCCTGAACAGTTAGCTGCCTTATGCCCTGGTTGAGCACACTTGTAACATTTTATTGGCTGTCTACATTCTCTGGCTAGATGTGATGGATCGCCGCATTTGAAACATTTCTTAATTCGTTCTTTATTCAAGTCAGGTTTCTTTTCTTCGGTATCGTTATGCATCCTACCCGTATTAGACGCTTGAGGGCGACTACTACGGATTTTCTCATATACCTTGATTTGTTCTTTTAGTTGCTGCAGAGTCTTGGCCTGATACAGATTACTTTTGTTACTCCTCGAGTCAGGTATTCCCTCAATAAAATATTCTATCAGGCTTGAGTCATCCAGGTTAAGAGGTCCGCCAATTTCCATAAGGCTATACAGATATTCTATATAATCTTCACCTTGACGCTTACGCCTATTCCGCAACATGCGGTGGACGTCTATTGATGAAACTACCGTCCCAAATTCTTCCAATAGCGCTTGCTTTAAAGATATCCAATCTGAAATTCCATGCTGACTGCGCACGAATAATTTTGCTGCACCTTTTAGTAATTGCTTTGAGTAAATAAATTTCTGAAGGTCGTTCCACTGCACTGCCAAAGCGTTATCTTCAAATTCATGAATCCATTTTTCAACAGCTGGTTGATTTGACCCATTGAATTGCGAGAGTGAATCTTCAATGTCGCGTAATGTAAACGTTGTTCGGACTATCTGCATTGGTGAGCTTTGACGGGTATGAGCCGACCCAGCATCGTCATACTCAGATTCATTATCGTCAACCTGCAACCCATAATATTCTAAAAGTCGGTCTTGCAAAGTTTGCTTTCTACCTGTTGTTACCAAACTAAGTGCCGATAACTTTTCTTTTAATTCGTTAACTCTTAACGCCAAAATTTCGTCTCTGTTCATTTTGTTATCGTCGTTGCTCGCTTTTCACAATGCTTAAAATTGAATCTTACAAATAAACAATTCAATGTACTTAACTTAATGGTATAAGTAATTAAACTCTTATGAATCAAATTTTAGTTTTTTTTTTTCAGCAACTTTAGAAATTATTAAATTATTATATTCGTCTG